GGTCTCGTTGCTTTCATTCCCCTGTCGGTTCACTGCGCTATCTGTGCTACAGATGCGAGCTATTGGAACAGTCTTATTGGGTTCGGTTATGGACCATGACACTTGCTCTGCTTCTTCGCGGCTTCCGTTCGTCCTGGCCTGTGGAGTTTGGTAAAAAGGCTATTTCTGTTTTTTCTGATCAAGTTCATGAGTAACAACGAAGGGGGGCCTTGATGGTCGTTTATCTGTTACATAGCCAGACGTGCAGTCTGAGAACTCAAGAGTAGCCCAACAAATTATCAACTTAACAACAACAAGATAACAAAAAGGATAATCAAGCAAGAATTAGTTTTATTGCTCATTGGACTTTTGATACCCCCCCCCGCCAACATAGAACTGAGTTAGCAATCTCAGTTTTCGAAACCCTGTTATTTTTATTGTGTTGCATTTTGGAAGATACATGTATGTCTGTCCCATGCACTGCTCTCTCTCGCCAACGAAACTATGTTATAAACAAAGTACAAGTCAAAACCTGTCCTCAGGTGGCGAGGAGGATGTCAAAACAGTAAAAAATACCACGACCGAGGTTCGCCGGTGGCGGGGCGCGACCGAGACAGGTCTGAGTTCTCTGCATGCGGCAGGCTCAAAGACAGAGCAATCTGCTGACAACTTCAGGTATGAACTCCGCTTTGTTGAACAATGCATCGTGTAATCCAAACAAAAACAAAAAACGTAATAGAATGTTTGGGCAGGGTGATATAGAAAAAAGTATACAACACTGCGGGGTGTGAGAGAAGGACGTAGTTAAGCCTACTAAATAAGAAGGGTAAATGCATCAGTTCCAAATATTAGCTTGCACTGTAGACTACTGCCAGCTGGAGACGTCTGGGCTGATTGACTACTTTGATGAACCTGAGTGTACTAATATATAACTCGGAATACTAATGGAGATAGTTCCTGCTGGCCCTGAATCTACATTCATTCAGGCACATCTATCTTTTTAAATAAAAATAAAAAGTTGTTCAAACACGGAAGTAGTCCACGCTCTTGGACTATGGTCTAGCCCTGTCAGAAGTGAAACAGTGAGGAAAAGTAAATATAAAAACTTGGTCAGAATAATCATGAAGATGATATTTGTAAACTGTGTGTCCTCTTGTTACCCTGTACGAAGCCAAGAGGACTGACAGCTTACGCAATCGCGGAGCACTGTAAAATAGACAGAAACTGGCGTTGGGGTGAAACATGCGAATCACGTGGCTGTTGAGCTGCTAGAGCACTGCGCCCAGCGGAGAGTCTGACGAGGGGTCAGAGATGAGTTTGGGCGTGTTCGAGGGGTGACAATTAGAGGATGCAGTGACCGAGCTTCGAGTTGACAGGTTAAAGCGGAGGAGGCGGCAATGCGGACGAGTGCTTGTCGCTAGTGGAGCGTCGAGTGACCATTAAAAACTCTGCAGAACAGGCAGGCCACACATGGAACCCTCGGTGCGTACCGGAGAACTCAACGTGACGCCACATCGGAAGGGGGGGGATGGCTGAGCCTCGTGCCTGTCAGCACTGGTCTCAGCCGCTTTTTCTCTTGCGTTCCGTCTCCGTTTGGTGTCAGGGTGTCTGACGGGGCGGTTCGAGACTTTACACGCTATAACACTTATGTGCTTGACCAGTAGCTCGACCGACTGTTGTTCAGTGTGTGGTTTGGGATAGCTGAGGTTGAGTCGTAAAAAATCTCCATAGATCATCAGCATTATCGATGCAGTTGTTAACGAAGAGAAGACGGATAAGAGACAGAGTCATGTTGAGGAGGGTGGTGACATGGTTGGGATTAGTAAAACGACTTGTATGTCCTGCAGAAATGCATGAAGCTAGTGTTTGGGTTGCCAGATAGACGGTGGGATGGCAAGGTAGAGCAATGGAGACAGAAATAGATAGTAGGGTAATGAAGTAGGTGAGTAATTAATGAGGGAGCTATTACGTAATCAAGTAGATGAGTGACAGTTAAGTTGCGCGGAGACGTCTGCAGAAAGCAAGGAGGTACAACGTGGCTTTACATGAGTGAACCAGGATTGAAGAAGGCTGTCACAACTTCGCAAGTTAAGGCAATAACTAGGACAAAGATATAATATAATCAAATAAAACAACAATAGAAGCGGATGTGGTGTGTGTTAGAAGTAAGTCAAGGGACGACTGCAGGAAGTTGCATCAGCTGCCTAGGTAAGGCAGAATTGTAAAGTCTTTTTATTTGAAAACAAAAACGATACCGGAGAGTCGTACTTTTAATTGCCGTCGGCGGGACTTAGCCGTCATTGTTTGTGATCCCATGGATGTGTCCCACTGCTGGTCCGTAGCTACATAATGTAAGCTCAAGCAAGATGCTTCCAGTTTTGACCCGAGTGTTTTTTCTTCCTCTTAACGCATTGAACAGGACACAACTGAAAAGCGGTCCGGCGCATCTTGAGGATGGCTCTGGCCGCTCGGAAACGATGGACCATGAGTTAATGGAGAGACTTTACCTCCGAGCGGTTAGAATAGCCGCTGTGGTCGCGACTGTACTGGTTCGGGTCAATCACAATGGTGTTCCTTAAGCAATACCTGCTGGAAACAGAAGACGTTTGGACGGCTTATTTGTCACGTGTTTACCAGGTGTTTGTCGATCTTGTCGGACTGTTGTCTGATCTCATGCAGCTGTCTCCTCCAAATTGTGCCCGGGTCTCATCGACTTGCTCGTCGCGTCAGATTTCGATCCTGTGAAGAGCGTCCCGGGATGGTGCTGCCGCTTGTCCATCGGTTTTCATTGCCATTGATTCACCTTGTCAACTAACCTCGTGGCCTGATAGTTATCTGTGTCGGTATGGCCTTTCTACACCGTCGGTCGCCTCACTCAGGCACGCGGTGTTCAATGTGCTTATCATAGTGTCTATCCATGAAACAAAACTAACACATCCAAGGCCCTATGCTGTCGCATCATATCTGCGGTGCAGCTCCTGAAGCTCATTCGTCTCCTATGAGAGTCATAGAGCCGGTATGATCTTCAGATCTGTGCATCTAGCGAGTCGTTTATAGTCTGCACTTTATTACTCAGTGCCCTGTAGACATGGCACCCAGCTGCATCATTGAAGAAAAGTCACCCCTCATTTCAAGAGTACGTTGGGAGAGTAGGTGATGCCCTGTTAAAAAGAGAAGTCAGCTCTGTCTGGGAAGTTTCTGCAAGACTGAACATGCGGCAGGCTACGCTTTCGCCATTCATTGTGGACTGATGGAGATGCTTGTTCAATGCTTGTGTTGGTTTTCTGTATTTCTCGGGATTTTTCGTTTTGGGTGCGTTTAGAGTGGTGGTTAATCTTTTTTTCAAAATGATTGTCTCTTATGTTTTTTGTTAAAACTGCATATATGCTGATATTATGGATTTTTTACGACTCAAACATCAGTATCCAACACACATGAACACATTCAGTACTGGTCAAGCAATAGTTTATAGGTGTAAAGTCTAATGCCCTCATAAAAAAGAGAGAACGAAAGAAAAAAGGGTGAAGAAAGTTGACAGGATAGCTCAGCCAATCACGTTGATTGTGGGCGTCATTATTTAGCACCAGGTTCCATGTTTGGCTGCCTTTGAAGAGTTTTAATGTCATGAGATATGAGACAAGACTTCACATTGCTTCACTTTAACTGTCAATGAAGCTTACTTCTGCTAATTGTCACCTGCAACACGCAAACTATTCTATTATTTGGCTCGCAGTTTAGCAGTAACAAGCTGGATTCATGTTTACCCAACCATTTGTCTATTTTACAGTGCTCCGATTGGCTAACTGTCAGTCTCTTGGCTTCTACAGGTAAAAGAGGACACACATTTCAATATCATTTCATGATTATTCTGACAAGTTTTAATCATTTACTTTTCCCTCACTTTTATTCTGAAGGTAGACGCATAAGCAAGAGCGTGACTACTTCCGTGTTTGAACCAACTTTTTATTTTTATTTAAAAAGATAGTGTGCCTGAATGAATGTATTCAGCCAGCAAACTATCTCATAGTATTCCCGATTATATCATTATAACTCATTCATCAAAGTAGTTCACTCAGCCAGACGTCTCAGCTGGCAGTAGTCTACAGTGCAAGCTATATTTGAACTGATGCATTTACCCTTTTATTTAGTAGGCTAACTATTCTACAGCATGTTGTATATTTTTTCTATATCACCTGCCAAACATTTCTATTAATTTTTTTTTTGTTTGGATACACGATGC